CCACTAGATCAGTCACTGCATCAGGCTGCCCAGAGCCCCATCCAACCCAGCCTTGAGAGCCTTCAGGGACAGGGCCCACAGTTTCTATGGGCAGCTGTGCCACTGCTTCACCACCCTCTCAGTGAAAAAATTTCCCCTGACATCTAACCTAAATATTCCCCTTTTTAGTTTAAAACCATTCACCCTTGTCTTATTACTTATTACTGTCTACCCATGAATGTTGCAAGACAGGCACAGAGAAAAGCTGCTTCTCTTTTTTTTCCTTTTTCAAACCAATTACATTTCTGCAGTGACAGATTAGTGTTTACAATAATTCAGATATTAAATATCCAGAAGAATTACTGTTGCTTAAAATGTGGGTTAGGCAGCATTACACATAGCTTATTTGTGCTGCCTAGTAACAATTACACTGAACACAGTGTTTAAAGTGAGATGTAAAGCCAGCAAGAGGTAAAAGGAAGCATGGAATAAAATTTCATTTAAGTGAGGTTTGCTGGAGACAAAATAGGGATTACTACAGTAGCAGAAACTGCAAAATGGCAAGTGACACTATAGCTGAGTTCAGCACAGTAAATAATGAAAGAGACACAACCTCTCTGGCCCCCTGCAGCTCACTTAGTTCTGATGGCTGTAGAAAGAAAACAGGAACAATTCATACAGAGATTTGTCTAATATCTTTCAGAAGTTGATAAAATATCTCATTAAGGCACTGCACTTCAAAGCTTTGAAAGCTGTTATCTTAAATCACTGCAGTTTCTACGGCAACAGTTTAGTAGGAATCAGATTCTACAGGAACAACCTGCAAATTGTCAATGCAACAAATCACTGCCTTGTAGGTAGAGGTAATTAGGATCCCAGCTGCTATTATCAGCTGATAGTATTTCACTTTAGCCTCCCTCACATTCTAAGAACAATCTTTCTCAATAACAAGCATTGCCAAAATACTATGTTTTCTTTAAATACCCTTACTTTCCTTCCTGAAGATCCAGGAGCTATTTAATTAGAGAAAAAGATGACTTAACCACATAAAAGACTCAGGCTGTCTAGTCCATATATAACCATATATAACCATTCCTACACTGCACTAAATGCCGGGACAACAGCTGAGCACTAGGGTTAAAAGTAACGTAGTGCGGTGGTTAGTGACTACTGCCATCTTGCGAACAAAATCCCAAATGCCATTCCTTTGCTCAAACTGCATCTGACGGAGCACAGCAGGGGAAAAAAAAATAAAATCTGCGCATGCCTGCATATTCATCTTACAGTAAGCATATAATATTCATCCAGACAAGAGATGACAAAACGAGACAGGTCCTAACGGATATAATAGAGCATTCCGGACTGCTGAATGTCAGTTGAGCATTTAGATACTGAAACCAGCTGGTCATTGAATCATAGGGCTTGGAAGGGTCCTCTGGGGATCATCCAGTCCATGCCCCTGCTGAAGCAGGTTCCCTGTAGCGGGTCACACAGAAAAGCTTTCACATGGGTCTCAAATACCTCCAGAGAAGGAGACTCCACAACCCCTCCAGGGAGCCTGTTTCGGTGTTCTGTTACCCTCATGTACAGAAGTTCTTCCTCATATTTGCATGGAATTTCCTGTATTCTAGTTTTAGGCCATCACTCCTTATCCTATCATTACACATCAACGAGAAGAGCCTGGCTCCATCCACACAACTCCCACCATTTAGTGCTTTGTAAGAGCTGGTAAGATCCCTCCTCATCTACCCTTCTCCTGGATGAACAGGTTTCAGAATAAACTTTCTGAAGGTAGTTCAGAAAAGGACAGCTGTAAAAGCTTTGTATATTCTTCAAACTATTTTGTTACTAAGTTTGCTGCCCCCCACCCCGTGCCATCACGGGGCTCTGCCCACCAAGCAGCCTGGCCTGGCTCAAGAGCAACCACACAGCAGTGTGTGATCCACACTGCCTGGGCTGGCACTGGGAGGGCACAGGACAGTGCTGACACAAGTTTCACCAGATAATGGTGTGCATTTTGATACGCTGACTGAACACGGTCCTGTGAATAGTGGAAGATATGCAGCTGTGCTGTTTTCAAAAAGGAATTTGAGAATAGGTTTGAAGAATGCTGGGGAAAAAAAAATCATCAATTTTTTGCCAGAGTTGTGATCCCTTGCCCAGTTGACATGAATACATTACTTACTAATTTTCAAATAGAACGTGTAAAGCTGCAATCAGACATTCAACTCAACTAACTGATCATGTCTCTTTACCAGACCTTTATAAGCCTCATTTGACCAAAGGGAATGCACCCCTTGCTTTGCTATCACACCTTATGCATGGCATTGCTTTTTGGCTGTACGTACATCTGTAAATGACTGTTTTCAAGGATGAATCACAGGAAGAGTAAAACGCCATCAAAAAAAAATCTCTGATGGACATCTTAGGAGCTGACTGAGAGTTGCAGCCAGAGCCACCAAACCAGACTGATGCATTAGTGTCACAAAAACAATGTCAAATAACCCACTATTTTGTTTTTGTTGCTCTTTATGTTTTAATTAAAAAAAATATTTTAAGTTTTGTTATAGTTACATACTTTAACTACATGGTATATTTTATATGCAGCCCATGACAATTCCTCCTCACTCAGAGCAGCCTGGACAAACCCGAAGGTTGGATGCTCATGTACTGAGCCACATCCCCAAGTGCCACATGAACACCTCTATTAAATCCCTCCATGGAACAACAGTTGCACATGGCAGCACCAGCTCCATCTTGGATAAGAATGAGACTTTGCCTGCAGAGCAGTCTTTTTTTTCCAACTTCAGTTTATCAAAAAGGAGTACAAGCTGTGCTAATGGTGCTGGGAGCGGGGAGAATGGGAGGGCAGCCTCTTGCAGGGCTGACTCTGCCTTTCAGCACTGCCACACACACACACACCCCATCAAATCCAAACCCACACGTATTGCACGTTACATGTGTAGTACCAGTTGGCAAGTAGCACAGTGATTGCCAATAATATGTCAACCCACCTACACTGTGCATGCCTGTGAAGATAAATGTATTTTGTTATGAAGCAGATACGCAAGTTTTTGTATTTAACTATCAAACTTGGGCTTGTGTTATTTTACAAAGCAATTTAATAAGCCAACATGTTCACTGTGGAAGAAATATCCAGAATACTTGCCCAGTGCTCACAAACTTTGTTATTTTCAACATCTTCAAGATGAGGATCATTTGTGCCGTGCTTCAAATCATAGAGGCATTCAAAATGAATCTTAAAATTGTGGCAAGCTCAAGATACAAGTGATTTTATGCATTTTGATACACTAACAGCAGCCACGAAGGTGAGATTGTGAAGTGAAGGGTGTTTCTCTCTGGTCAGAGAAGTACGACTAGAATTTTCTTTGAATCTAATGTCTGAATGCAACTCTGTACAATCCATTTGAAAATTTGCAGATGATATATTTATATTAATTGAAAATTGAGTCCCTATTCTTCAATAGCCCATGAAGCACGCAGCCACGGGGAACCCAGGAATCTTGGAGTTTCCCCCAGGAGCTCCCTCTTCAGGCTGCTAGGGATCCCAGAAACCAACCAACACATTATGCTTTTAAGATAATCCATGCTAAATTCATGCACTGCTGTCACATCTACCTCAGTCACCAAGCATAACATAATGGAAAATACAACAGTGATAGCAGAGCAGCAAGATCCCAAGCCACACTAAGTGAGGATTCACTCAAATGCAAAAGCAGTAGACACAAAAAAATAATAAATAAATAAATGTTGCTTACCTTTAAAAGGCCTCAGATATGCAGAAATCTCTAGATAAGATACTTTTGCTTACACTGCCAACCCTTAAATGAGGTCTGGGAAGGGGTGGATCCTGGCTCCACCTATTCTGGTCATTCATGTGCATTGCTGGCACCTGAGCTCCTCTGGATTGGCCCTGCCTTCCCACCAGGTGCTCAATGACAGGTCCAAGCCATGCCTTAGCATTTTTGCTACAAGGACCCAAGACAATTCCTCTTCACCCAGTGTGGCCCAGGCAAGCCAAAGGGCTGGACAACCATGCTCTATTGTATTAGCGTAGGAAACAGCTCTCTTTTCCTTCTGCCCACTTCTCTTTTCTCCTTCCTTTGAATAACATGGTTTTAACATAACAGCATCAGATCTGGTTTATTTAAAAGGCTTTTGTTAGATGACAGAAATTCCGATTAAACATCACCTTTCACATAGAAGCCTGAAGCCAAAGCTAGAAAAAAATTTAAAAAAATTTTAAAAGTAGCACCAAAATCCTTAAGTGTCAGCTGTACAACAATCCCACTGGCACGTAGTATATCAAATCTACTACAGATAGTTAGAAGTCAAAAGGAGGTGATTGTAGAAAAACACCAAATGGAGCCCAGATAGCAGGCAGGCTTGTCTGCTCTGTGAATTTTCCTTCGAGTACCCTCCAATATTTCAGATGCAAGTCCACTAGGTAGTACAGATGTAAAATTGAGCTGGTGTTGATAGGGCACACTTAGCTTGACAAAGGATAACACAGCACAGAATGGCAGGAACTCTGAAAAAGCACTGAAGTGACTTGAAGTATTAAGCACCTTAGAAGTCAAATCAGAAAAATAAACCTAGATATATTTTCTCAGTCATGCAGCTGCTTTTCTAAATCTTTCAACATATTTGGCTATACCTGTGTCTTTGGCAAAGACCTTCAAAATCAAATCAAATTTTCTTAAGATAAGACTTATGACTTACAGAAGGGTAGATGTTCCTAAACTAGGATCATTTATGTAGAGGCACACAAGATCAAGAGTCTTTTCAAAAAAATCACATGCACTTTCCTCATGCCCTTACGTTCCTGAGTTTCACAGCAGTAGTGTTTTCTCCTCAGTGCAAACACAATGAATGGTGGGAAGTAGGAATAGAAAAGAGTTCTCTAATGAATCATCTTACCTGGCTAATAGCTTCTATCTGTGCAACGTATCTGTGTGCCTCCCCACAGTAAATGGTCACCATCTGCCTTTGTTCTAATAGATTCTCTTAACACATGTGGTTCTAGTAGAGCACACTGGAGAATCCCACAGAGGAGAGTGATGTTTAGGATTCCATAACTGCAGGAAAATCTTCAACCAGAGTCCACATTATTTACACCTGCCAGATAAAGCAGCTAGCTCAGCTTAAGGGAAATGAAAGGAAGGTTTTCTACAAGCAATTAATTCAGTCTCAGCAGCCCTCACTGACTGAAGACAACTTCAATCACAGAATGATCAATATATTAATTACAGCAATGGCATAGTAGCTTGTTTGTGCAAGGTGAGCACAACTCGGTGCACATAATTATTTTTGTCAAGTCCTTTTGAGACTATTCCAGGTACATCTGTCCTTATTGACTGTCTCTGGTGAGCTTGCATAGGTTTGAAGGGGTCAGCACTTTTTTCAGCACAACAGCAGACACATGCATCCCCATCAGTTATCACATCTCATGTGATGACTTCTTAAAGCTCCCTCGACTTCCTCAAACTTTACCACAGTTAAAAACGCTTGCAATGATTTGGAGTGCATTGAAGCAGAGGTATAGAGACCAGTCATCTCAAAACCACCTCTGTGTTATGACCACTATAGTTGAAAGCCTTTCTAGCAGGGTAGCATGGTAGAGTAATGAAAGCTATTTCATTTTCAAGGTCTGACTGGAATTGAGACTAAATGAGAACAAAAAAAGACTACTACTTTCATTTGAATGTGTCCTATACAAAAAGTGGCAACAGTTCCCTCAGAAGAATTGTACTAAAGTACTGAAGATACAGCCACTAAATGGTGCACTACTGTTCAGGAAATGCTTAGTTAGTTCATAGTGAAAAAGGAAGTTAATTGCTATCTGCAGCTAAAGTCTGTTGAGTTGACTCAAACTTGAAAACTTCTAATATTTTTTTAAATACTTGCCTATTTTTCAGTTCCTTTTCAGGAATGCTGAAGTAACAAGAAACCATGATAGGGCAATCCTTCTGCCTCGTTTATGTGTCATCTCTCTGAAAGGACCAAGCACCAGCCCTGTAGGCAGCCCTGAGTTGCAGGGTCCAAACTGCTCTAAAGCCAACAGAGCTACATCCAATCATAGCAAAGCTGCTGTAGTAAAGATTAACATTTGCTGAGGGAAGCTACAAAATGATGATTGCTTAGATTATAATAATGCTATCACTGTTATATCCCCTTCTAATGTATTATTCCATTTATTGTAAATGTTACTAGACATTTATTGCTCGTATAGCAGAAAGTGCTAATGGATTGCACAGCAGGGAATCAGTAATACATAAATCCCAGGATGATACTCTCTATAAAATAAGGAGATATCATATAATAACCATCCTTAAAGGGTCGTAAGAATTGTGTTGTTTAATCTCTTTTTCCACAGAGGCCCAAGTTTGATTGTACAATAAATCCAGCTTTGGGGCTTATGGTAGCAGATAACAAAAAAAACAAAAAACAGAAAACAAAAAAAACCAAAAAATAAAAAAAACAAACTGAAGAAAGCTGTAAAGCCCTGAAACAAAGCAATGATCTCCTGAAAATTTATTTACAACCTTCTCAAATTGTATAAGACCTCTGACAGCTCACATTTGTTCAAAAATCTGACTGATTAACTCTGTAACAGTAACAGGCCTTACACTGAAAAAGATATCACTTGTGGGCTCCGTGCCCACAGAGTCAGTGTAAGTGCTGAAAAAAATTCAGTATCACGCATTGCAGATAGTTGTCAAAGATAAGCAAACACCTTTGATCTGTATCAGATGCATGTGTCATCTAATAACACACAAGTTGAGTGGAGCAACAACCTGAGTAATTTATGCCACAAGAGATCAAATCCCCATTTGGAGCCACTCTCAAGCAGGTTGCTCAAGGCCTTGCCCAGTCAACTTCCGTGTATTTCCAAGTAAGGAGGTTCCACGCCTCTCTGGCCCTGTCCCAACATCTGCCTGCACACATTTTCCCCACTCCTTCCACAAAAAAAAAAACCACACCCAAAAAGATAGTATTTCTCCGAAATTTCCCTTCTTGCAACTTGTCTGCGTTACATTACCGCTGCTGCCAATTGCACAAGTCACCAGATACTTTCCCTGATGCAGAGCAGCTGGTCAAAATGCAGATTAAAGATGCAGACATGTTTTTCAGATATCATCCAAGAAAAAGTGGCTCTGCGTTACAAGGAGCCAGGGCCACCAAAGCAAAAAGAAAAATTCCCTTCAAGCAGTCAGGACTCTGACAGGCTGAGGTATAACATCAGCATCCCTTTTAGTGACAGAAAGAGCAAAGACCAACACTTTTCTGAGAGTGACAGAGAAGAGTTAAGACCTCTGCTCAGGAAAGGAGAAGCAGAATATACTTAATGTAAAATAAAGTACTTCTAGCTTACAAATTTTCATTCCAAAGGGGAAACTGACTTGAAAAACCTTGACTGCTTTGGCTCAGCAAAGGAAGAACATATGAAATTAATTAGGGATAAAGACAAATTGTTTCTTTAACAATTTCCTTCAAGCATAAAATTAAGAACATATGTTTACATATGTTCATATAAAATATCTAAACGCTGAGCACATTAAAAAGATTAAAATACTGAAGCAACTCAAAAGTATCCCTCACTGAGTCCATTTCATTCTTGCACCTGAGAAATCATACTCAGAAGCCCTACAAATGCCAAAAGAAGATCACGAATGGCCTGGGTTCAAAAGGACCATAAAGGTCATCTAGTTTCAACTGCCCTGGTGGTCAATCACTAGACCAGGCTGCCCAGAGCCACATCCAGCCTGGCCTTGAATACTTCCAGGGTTGGGGCATCCACAGCCTCCTTGGGCAACCTGTTTCAATGCGTCACCACCTCTGTGTGAAAAACTTCCTCCTAATATCTAACCTAAATCTCCCATCTCAGTTTAAAACCATTCCCCCTTGTCCTATCACTATCCACCCTTGTAAACAGCCGTTCCCCCTCCTGTTTATACTCTCCCTTCAAGTATTGGAAGGCCACATTGAGGTCCCCCCGGAGCCTTCTCTTCTCCAAGCTAAACAATTCCAGTTCCCTCAACCTTTCTTCATAGGAGAAATGGAAAGATGAAATACTGTAACATTAAGATGTCAATCACAAACACAAGTGATAGAAAAAGAATGCTTATTTAAAAATAGTTTTTAATAAAAATGGAAATAGTGATTGTGCTAGTTAATAAGAAAAACTAGAACTTAAACATTTTTAAAATCTCTTTCACCCGACAGTGCTGCAGAGGATTTACTTTATAAACAGTAACACAGGTACTCATCAACTTTCCTGCTTTGCAAAACCATCTTAAAGTTTTAATTAGAATTAACATTCATATTTCATATCAGAGGATGAAAACCAAGAGGATGCAGCCATTTATGGAGTATGAAGCAGACGAACACCCACAAGGAAAAACTATGTGCTATCATTGATGCTATTGCTAATCAGAAAGAACTTATGTCTTACTGAAAGGCTTTTGAAATTTGCTTTGAAGAAAAACTCTTGGAACACGCAAGTCTTCTTTCCTATTCACAGTTTCTCGGTGCACGTATTCGTTGACCACTTCCTCATATCCCTCTGCCCTGAAGAGCTGAGACAAGAACTCTAGAAGTGAAGAAAAAAAACCAAAAACATTAGATGAAAAATTACGTTTCTGCTATTTTTAAAGCACTAGCCAGTGTTTTTATAAGCTTACATTCTAATGTGTTAGCGTACAGAAAACCACACATGCCTTTAGATTTCAAGCTGTTCTGTGTAAGCTGAATGCTGCACTTCTGAATAAAATCAATACAGGACACCTTTGGAAACATCAACTTAAGCAAAACAGCCTGAAAACTGAGACTTAAGCAAAACAGCCTGAAAACTGAGACTTAAGCTAGTTACTGTTTAGTTTCCAAAACATGGCACATCTCTTATTTTTATTGAGCTTTCTCATTCTCCCTGTGATTGACACCAATGCATTTTCGAGTTGCACAGCTGGCTTCGTCAGGTGAACACAACACTTATTTCAAATATTTCGGAAGTGATCCAGACTTGAAAATGGATCTCTGCTTGTGAAGAAACCTAAGTTACTTGACCTTCACAAACCACTGCTCAGTAGAAAAAGGAAAAAAACAGTGAAGTGGTTGTAGTGGTACCAAGTCTGCATTAAGTCAAACTGACAACATTTCTCAAACACAAAAGACCACAATTCAAAGCTTATCTCCCTTTGGGATGGCGGAAGTGCCTCACAGACAAGGTCATCTATGCAACAGAGAGGGCTGCCCACGCTACTGACCTGTCATATTAGCTACAAGTCAATATCCTTCTTTTCCCACCCCTTGCTTCATTTACTTCAGGTGTGATTCCTCTGGAAATTTAAGCCATACTAAACTTTTGCTACTTGGTAGAAAACAAAGGCACACACTCTTTTTCAGTAGGTGATGGGCTTGCCAAAAGAGCTGATCATGTGGCTTAGGAGCACCAGAACTAGAAGAAGTAGAAGAGGTGATACGTTGAAAAGGGCAAAAGAGACCACCAATTTCAGCAGGAAGGCAGGCTTATGTCATCATAAGCCCAACAGGAAACCACACGGACTGGCCATAAACAGTGTGTATTCTTTTAAAATGGAGAATCCACATTAATGAAATACTAATAAATAGCACTTACTTGTGCATCAACTGAAACTTTATATGAATAAATTGAACAGAATCAGAATTAGAAACATTTACTCCTCCCCAAATTTAAGATTATTTCTAAGAGTGGAAGAATGGATTCATTGCCATGGAGCATCAGTGTTGTTATCTTAGGTCAGATACACTACAAACAGGCATTGTTCAAATCATTCTACGTAGTAATGACTTGATGTAGCAGAATAGTGCCTCTGCTAAATTAAAAAAATAGGACTGGTTACCAACTATACAAGAATGATGGAGTCACATTTCTAGTAACACAGGAATTCTCAAGCATTAACCAATATTTACATGAAAATTAGTAAGATAAATGCGATCAGAATGAATAAGAAGCAGGAGCAGAGGTGGTCCGTGAGACAGCCACAGATATTCCCAAGGCACAGCAACAGCTCACACAACCAATGTAGACCAGTTCACTTTTTTCCTTCATTTTTCTTCACTCTCCCTATCCCAATTTTTCCTCCAAAGCACACCTTCACACTAGAACAGAATTTCTCATTCAGAAACAATTCTAACACACAGTAAGAATGGGATTTAAATTTACATAGATAGGCCAGTTTCTTATTTGGTCCCTTTAGCATCCATTCTCTTTTTTAGAGCTAGTTTGTTAAAGTGGAACTAAAAATCACTCAGTAAATAATAGCTCTGGAAGCGCTTTAATGAAGCTGTAGAATAGCCTGCATTATCTAGGATTTCATCATAGTTCTGTGAAAAATAGAAAAATCTCAGACACGATTAATGTTCTTTATTTATCAGAAGCAATTAAGTAATACATTAAGTCATAAAATTTGAACTTTTACTTGGCTTCAAATTGGCCTCTTCAGTGGCTATATTTTGCTTCAGACTAGGAAAAAAGAGCCCACAGAAATAAACACAGAGCTTTCATTTCACAATTTGACAATTACATTTGACAGGGAGAAGTAACAGTCCACTAAAGTTTAGTATGAAGAACTGGGAGTTAAGAGATGAGCTATAAACCCATATGGAGTTCATATTGAGAGCCTTCACAAATTCCTTCATGTCTCTGTGCTTCCATTTAGCAGCCAATAACCTGCAATAATTACCGTCCTTCATAAAGCATTCAGAGCACTGAATGAAAAGCTGTTAAAATGCTGTATCAAATGGAAACCCTATTTTGCTTCATCTACAAATTGTGCACTTCACTGGCACACTTCGTCTTCCACACCAAGAATAACCTCACGAATAACCTCAACAAAACTGTGTCACAAATATTTTTATTGAACTTTTACTGAACTTTGTTCTTTTTCCTTTATACAACAAATCTGATTGAAATCTACAAATTTAGAAACTTCTGCTCCTGTTACACGATAGAAAATACACAAAGCTTGTAAACAAATAGCAGCTCCATAAAGTCCTGTCGATCCAATAAACAGCCTCCCATAAATAGTAACAAAAAGAGAAGACAAATGAAGTACACGACTGTTTGACAGTCACCTGTGCAAAAACAAAACTGCTGTGGGCATGTTACCAATTCTCTGAATCAAACTTAAGTTGAAGATCACAGAAAAGAAAGCATCTTACCTGTAGTGAAAAAATATGATCTTGTCCCATCTTGTCTAACATAGAAGTTTTCTCCAAGTTTGCTGCCAGATTTAAACCTGAGCATTGCATGATCATACAGTCCATAGTCTCTGAACAAGACACACTTGCCTGGTTTTAATACCTGCCATGTAAAACATGCATGCTTTAATAAGGTAGATGGATTTGTGTATATATGCTTATATACACGTTATTAAGACATATCCTAACACACTCCATCCTAACACAAGCTGTATATATTTTGAATTCATTTCTCATGCAACAAAAGCGTTGTATACAAACTGGTTTGCTAGCTTTTAAAAGAATTCCTTCCCATGAACACTACAATATGAATTGCCTTCAGATATCTGTTTGGATGCTAAACAATTACATAAGCTTTCTGCAACACTCTTCAAACACAGTGGAAAGAAAAATGTATGCACTGTAACAATAAAAATGAAGTCCTAACATGGCACTTCGTTTGCTGGCTACGTACCATCTAGCACACAATTCTGCTAAATAAAATATAGAAATCCACAATGTTTTTAATGCAAGAAGGAAAAAAAGTGCAATATAAGAAAAAGAAAAAAAAAAGAACAATTTTAGGAAAATGGGTTGCAGGTTAGGTGTTCATTTTTTTGTTTAAATTGCTCTTTGATAAGAGAATCAAGCAATAGTTTAGAAACGTATATTCACTACCCCTTCTGACTTGTGATATTTGATACATGCAACCTTTCTACCTCAGCAATACCAGCTGCATTTGTTGGAGGAGAAAGTGAATATTTGCAACTTGCAAATTCATACAGAAACCTACAAGTGAGTTCAATGAGCCAGACATTTCCACACAGAAAACAGTAATTAGCCTTTTCAGGTGCACGAGCTACGAACCAATCGCAACTTTAGAAAATAGCAGGAGGTACATTAAAAAATAAAAATAATTTAAAAAAAAATATCAAACATTCCTTTTTCTAACTGATAACAAAATCAGCAGGATATCTGCTAATATAAAAGCCCAAAGGCAGACCTACACTTACATAAAAAAAAAAAAAGCACATGTTGACTATGAAACTCCAGCCAATGTTTGACTTGAGATCACCTTAGGAACATAAAACCATTTGAATTGTGACCTTTCAGAACTGCCCTCTGGATGGGTCTATGTTTACCTATTAGCCAACACAAGCAGCCCAGGGTGCTGAGTTCCTCTACGTTAATGTTAATCTCCAAGCTCTCCATCTCTAAATCATCACAGGTCAAGCGGGTTTAGTAATAACAATACATACAATAATAACAACAATAATAATAACATACAACCATAACATCCTAACTGCAAGTTTTTCCATATTCTGGAAGTCAGCTACAGTTTGCTATCATCTATACCTCACCACCAAACATTTCAGCAACCCATGAACATCATTTGTATCAGACAATGTCAAAGCCAAACTGACAGCTGCAAGATACCATTTTGTTGTGTTCATAACTTACACTAGACCAGGATTCAGAGTAAAATTGTACTTTCAAGCTAAGGAGAATACGAGTGCTTTAAAGACTGTAAAATAAAGTGTTAAAGAATTACCTTGTAAATGTTCTTCAAGACAAGATGCATTTTGTCCGGATGAATGGCAGAAAGCACAAATATAAGGGTGACGACATCCACAGAATCTGCTGGTATATTTTCCAGAAGATCATCTTTGGTAAGATCGCACTGGAACACTTTGCATCTTTCAGTACTATACAGGGAATTTTTCTGCAGGAACAAAAAGAGCATGCTTTCACTGAAAATTAGCAGCACTATATCAAAAAAGTAAAAAACAAAAAGCAAGGGAAGCTTCCATCCCTGAGAAATTTTGCTGGTATCGCATAGCCAGAAACATAGTACCGCTCCCAACAAACAGAGTCTTCAACACATTCATCCATATATATGACTGTAATACTACAAGTCAACATGGAAAAATGTAGGTCAAACAATTCTGTTCTACTCTTCATATAGACAGGCAAGGGAAGCCCATCACTTGTAATTGTATAAGTTTCTAAGAATACTCTAAAAGAAGTTCCAAATATCACACCAACCTTCACATATTCAACAGCTCTAGGAGAGAAATCACAGGCATATGCAAAAATATTCAGATCTTCTTCTAAGAGTGGAAATAAGCAGTTTCCAACCCCACAGCCCGCTTCCAAAATGGTCAGTTTCTGGTCTGCAAACTGAGGTGGAAGAAAGCCAAGAAAAAGCACATCATTTTTATTTTCCTGGTGATATCAGCAGAAACATTGTTCAATCAGTATGTTAAAAGCAATAATCAAGTTTAATTTACCATTGATTCAGAAATGAAAGTAGCTATCCATTGGATAACTTTGACACTACAGAAGAAGAATCTTTTTTTTTCTGTCAAAGTACACATCTTTTTAGAATGCATTAATATTTCTTAATTACTTGAGGAGTAGATGTCTAAACAGATTGTTGTACCATTTCTTTCTTGTCTCATTCAGATATAAGGAACAACAGATGCAAATAACTATTCCTCTCATCGATGTTCTGCAATTAGCCTGTAATTCCGGGTGCTTTTCCTTAAAGCTGTGTTTTGAAATGCTCCAACTTTAAACATCATAGTTTATTTAGGACACAGAAAAAATGTTCTAGATTTCATTCTCAGTATCCAATTTTAAATTGCTCTGATGCACCTGTTTCTGAGGTGGCATCTTTGATACTGAGGGATTGCACAGAGCACTGCACACATAACATGTTAGTGCTCCCAAATTCATGGTTTAATTAGAAGTACTATTAAATCATTTGAAAACAATCAATCCCATCTGTTACAGAGCAAGTGCATAGAGCTCACCTCCCGACATGCTTTTAATTCTTGAAACTCTCTGGTTGTCCAGTGTCTGTCTTTGAAGAAGTTGGTGCTGTTTCTCTTGTAAAAAAGATCCCAGTTCTTCTGTGCCTCTTTTTCCAATTTCAGCTGTTTGAAGTCAGACACCAAAACCCGATCTTTTGCCAGTCTCTCTGCTTCTTCTGGGCTAAGGAGTCTCATATTATGGCCTTTCGTTTGGAAAGCACCATCTTCAGTAGAAGTTGTTACTGTAGTTAAGCAATCTGCTGATGTGTTTTCATGGAACATCCTAGAATCTTTCACACAGATACGAACACTGAAGACCCAAGGGTGATTTTCTTTTCTTCAGTGTACATTTCTTAACTTAGGTAAAATTCCTGGATACCTAAAAGCAACTGGGGAAAAAAAAAAAAAAAAGGAAAAGTCACAATACACAGTGATTAGGGCTTCATGGTAATCTATCGCACCTGACAAACTGCAAAGCCATCTGACTTCTCTTAATTTCAGAACTCTTCCATGCAAGCTAACACTGAGTATGAAATACCACTGATGTAAAAATTAAAGAAGATACTTAAAAGAATCTACAGGTCTTCTTTTTGTATTGTAGAAACCCACCTTCCAGGAGAAAGATGGCATAGCTATAAACTTCTTGCACTAAAACTGACTTAAAAGGAAAGCTTTGGTTCTTGTGAACTCCAGTTAGCAACACCTAAGACAAATGTAGTGATAAACAGGTGACAGTCACACTCAAGAGGTAAAACAATCTGTGCTTGTGTTAGCATTTCTCCTTCCTCTTCTCACCTCAGTGAGAGAAACATCAGCATTTATAGCACCAAGCCACTTAGGCAACAGAGCAAAACCAGTACAGTGATGCCTGCAGCCGGCCTGTGTCAGCACTCCTTCCCTGCTTCTTCCCAAGTAATCATAACCCCTTTAACCATCACAGTTTGTTTTTTGTTTTGTTTTGTTTTCCCCCCAGGATTTAAGAAAAATGGAGCAATGAGCAGGGCCCTGTGTATGCTGAGGAGGGATCCAGACCCTACTCCTGATCACAGAATATCCCGAGTTGGAGGGGACTCATAAAGATCAATGAGTCCAACTCCTGGCTCCACAAAGCACCACCCAAAAATCCCCAAAAAGTTAAGCTAGTTCTAAGCAAACATCCAGACCCAGGTCGGCACACTGGATTAAATCCAGGGAAGTGCAGGCAACACAAGTGTGTCAGATATGAATGCAAGCAACCCCAGGCAGGAACGAGCATCCATGTTCCAAAATGGAAGTGAGAACAAGCAGCGGTGCCTAACTTAAAGCAAAAAATAGAAAATAAATAAAAAAAAAGAACGCTTCATTTAGACATTTTATCATCTGTGATACGAACAGAACCACACAAACACAAGCACGAACTACAAACACGGGCAAAGGAAACAAAGAGCTGTCAGAACCCTGTCCAGCCTCACAGCACTCACACGCCCAGCCTCGCTCCAGCAGCCTCGCGCGCGCTCAGCCCTCACCCTCACTGCGCTGCCCGGCGCGGCCCAGGCTGGCGGCGGCTCCTGAGGCGCGTTACCCCGCGCCCCGCTCTGCCCTGCCCTCCCGAGGGCGGAGAGCGGGGCGGACCCTCCCCCGGCCCCTCTCCCCCCTCTCCCCTTCCCCGGGGCCCGCAGCCCCGCTCGGCCCCGCGCCTCTCGCTCCGCACCCGCCGCCGCCGCCGGCCCCGGAGCGCTTTCCCGGCTGCACTCGGCGCCCGGAAGGGCGCGGGGCGGCAGCGCACACGGCGGGCGGAGGAAAGGAAGGGACCGGCCGGGACGGGACGGGCGGGTGCGGGGCCATGAACGGCTCGGCGAACCCGCTGGACAAGGAGGACCACCCGCTACAGCTGGGCGAGAGCTTCGAGCGGCGGCCCAAGGCCTTCTTCCACACCATCCGCTGTGAGCACCGCCCTCCTTTCTCCTCCCGCTTAGCCTGGCCGCGTCTTTCCTCCCGCCCCTCCTGCGGACGAGCCCCCTGCCTTCGGCCCCTTCCCGCCGGGCTGTGCTGGGCTGTGGGCAGAGCGATGCCCCGCCGCGCTCGGGGTCCCTCCCCCCTCTCGCCCCTCGCTCACTGCGGCTGTGCCTCCCCCGGCCCTTCCTTCTCCCTTCTCTCTGCGCCCGTTTCCCCCGTCAGCGTCCACCCCGTCCCACCCAGGGTCTCGGCAGGCAGTGGGGGTGAAGCTGGCGTGGTTGAATGCTGTCTGAAGTTTTCCTTGGATCCACCGTGAGTGGACGGTTTGCTGCTTGTGTTCCTTTATTCTTCTCCCTAATGGCACCGCGGGCCCGGCTCAAGGAGCCGCAGTTTGGATTTAAAGTTTGAATGGAGGTGGTTGCTGTCGTGGCACCACGACCCCTCCTCTAGTAATCTAGGTAGTAAGTCACTTTCTGGGGAAGCGGGGAGAAGTGACTCAGGCTCACACGGTGTTGCCATATATGTGGTAACTCTGAAGAGTAAGAGAAGTGTTGAGGCATGGTCTCCAGCATTAACAGTTTTAGAATAACAGGAACAATCTGCCATTAAGTCGACAGAGACCACTCCAACTTTTCTCACGTAACATTGGGAGCGTTTTGTTTCATGTTAAGGAGATGGTTTTGGAGAGGAAAGAGCTCACTGCATTCCTCTGCTGGAATTCTGTTGGCAAAAAATTGCTATTTCATGTCCTAATCATTCCCAGGGAACTGCTACTTCATCCTTGCAACCTACTGTGGGGAACCTGCTTTAGCAGGGAGTTGGGCTTGGTCATCTCCAGAGCTCCCTTCTGACCCCTAGGATTCTGTGATTCTGTAAACAGGCCCAGGGCTTAAAATAAGTAGTTAATCACCAGCAGTAAATGAGAATAATGCTGAAGTTGTATTTTGGTCGCTTTGTGATTGGGTGAGGAATTGGTACAATTAATAATAGAGGTTTTTGCTACGTGATGTGTAGTCCTGGGATTGCAGTCCCGTGGTTGTGATGCGTAATTTGGTGAGGTCTGAGCGAGAACTGAGGGAACAACTTTCTAGGTTGAGCTGTTCCTCAAGAAGATGATCAGCGCTTGAAGCAAAGCCATTTCCCCAAACAAAAGCTTCTGCCTGCTTAAATTTTGCGTGGTTCCTCCCTCTGATCATGCATAATTCCACCATGTTGAAGAATGCTGTACCATACGTTTGGTGTATGTAGCTGTTTACATATAGCACTGAATGCTTCTAGCCAGCTCTGCTGCACCAGCAAATCCCCATTTATAAATCAAAGATTTAAAATAGCCCGACCATCAAAGGAATGAGGATGCCGTCTGATAGTGGGCGAATTAAACCCAAGCTGTATCCAGATAGCAATGCAGTATATTTCTAGAATGTAAAGTGCTTTCATAATCAAGTTCTCCAGGGGTTGCAGAGCCAAGGCACTTCAGGCTACAACTGAAAGAGTGTGTTTTTTATTTCAGAAGAGCTTTTAATGTGCTGTATTTTTAGTCGATGACATTCAAGTGAGATCTCTTGATTTTCTTTTTCCTAATGGTTGATCTTGATGATCTGTCTGGGAACTGAGCATTATATCATCCCTGTAATCCTCTTCATGCAAACTGCAGTAAGAGGATTTTGCAAGCTGGATTTGTCTCTTCCTCCTTAAAATACTTTATTGTTTTCTGTGACGTTTATGAAATCCTGTACTGAAAAACTGGGTTTGGAAATGCATCTAAAAATATTTGACTTTTGGAAAAAGGATTGGGTTTTACAGCTGAAAAGGCATACGTGCACTCCATCTACAGCAAAACTAGCCGAGCATGCATGCCTAATGAGCTTTCTGAATGAAAGCAATTTGTTGTGTGTTTGCTTAGAGTAAGCGTATTTTACTTATACCTAAGAAAGGAGCATCATAGTGCTGTGTTTTTTCATTTAGTGACTGCGCCATTGAAACCCTTGATCCCTTTTTGGCAAAGACTGCAGCTCATCTACAGCTGTTTTGTTTTATTTAGCAAGCTTGCACATAAAGTAGGTGGGAAACAATAGCTAGAAATAGATTGCGCAGATGAATATGAAAGATGTGATTTGGTCTGGCAGTTAAGGCATGAGGATTAAGTCAAGTGTGCCTGATTCTGCTTGTTGTGCTGTCAAAGTGAAACTCAATTAGACATTAACGTCTCCTTAATGAGAATTTATTACAAGCTGTTTTCTTTCCCTGGCAAATGTGCTTTTCATAGTGCAATTGAAATTTAGTTTTTCTAAGATATTGATGTCTTAACTAATGCAGTAATTAAAAGTCTTGGTTGCAAATGTAACTGCACCTCTTGTATCCAGAGATGCTAGAATCGTATGGATGCCTGTTTAAAAGAAATACTTAGCTGTCTGATCTTATTTCATTTTGTCTAAATCCTCTGTCACAATGTTACAGGTTTTCATGGCTCATCAGCATGACAGAATTACAGAGTGGGAAATACTTTGAAGTTAAAATGTTCTTAGTTCAAATAAATATGCTAAACACAAACGCATTACTTGGGGGAGAAAGCATTCCATACAGTGTGGCAGAAATTATTGAAAGTGGGGCTTTGTTTAGAGCAGCAGCAGTGTCTGACCTCAGTTATGCTCTCCATTCTCCATCTACAGCAGTTTTGGCCTTGTGTGGAGCCTGGTGAAATAACACCAGCACCTTTTTTTTCCCATAGATGGGAGCTAAGTTGTCCTCTCAAGTGGGTGTTGCAAAGGCAAGATGTCTGTTAGTAGTCAAAAATATCAGTGAGGTTAAATGAGCTGGTCTCACTCAATTAGCCTTTGATATAGATGGAATCCTCAGGTTTGGAGGTGGCAGGAGCCTTAGAGTCCTGGTCTGGGACCTGATACTCCTATGGGATGCTTGATACAGTTTTACACCTGTGTGCAACATCAAACATCAGGAGGAGCCTGCTTTTGGTCTTTCAGACACAGTCTGGTAATTTACTTCCATTTTTGAAAGAGACTTTTACATCTTTTACCATCAGGTGGCAGGAGCTGTGAATATGAACAAGGTTATACTGGTGTACTGTTCCACCCCTGGTGCAAGCCACTGTGTATTTTAGCATTTCCTGTAGCCACAATGAATGTGTGGTGCCTTTTTGCCGAGGAGAATTCTAAAAGCTCCAAATTCTGAAGATTCCAAGAGTCATAATCACAATTGTTTTCCTCCCTAGATGATTTTAAGCCGGCATCGATTGATACGTCTTGTGAAGGCGAGATCCAAGTGGGTAAAGGAGATGATGTAACAATCACTTTGCCACATATTCCGGTAAGAATGCTGACTGTGGTATTGAATGTATCCCCATTATTTGCAATGTAATTGCAAATTTGCAATGTAATTCCGTTCTGCCCTGTATGTTATTTTTTACTTCAGACTCTTGTTGGAAGAGGTGGGCTCGGTGTTTGAGCAGCTGGAGTTACAGCACGTTATGCGAGGAGAGGACCGTGCAATTGAGTCTGTGCTAAGAGTCTTATTTGTAGGGCTTCATTTGGTTCTTTTGATTAGTTCCTTCTTACTGTTACTTGTATAAAAGGACAACGACTTCTTTTAGCTGAAGCTCTCTACCTGATTTCCTTCCATTTTTAGTGCTACAATGTAAGGAATAGAAGCGGAGTAACTGTGGGTTTAGTCAGGATGTGCTGTTCAGAAGCTGAAGCTGGGCCTGTAGCCTTGTTTATTTCCTACACGCACAGATAGCACAGATGGTACCCTGCCTCTAGCTTTATCAATGGGACAGGGGAGAGTTTTCTTGTGAGCAACAATGAAGTAGTTTCCCATCCACTTCCTCCTTAAATTATGCCATAAATATCTACTTGATGAGACTGATGGTCAAACAGTAATAAAACAAGTGTTAAAACTGTTTATAGATGTAGCTGTTTTGTCGTTGAAAGCTCTGTGGTTGCCTTACCAAAACAAAGCAAAAAAAAAAAAACCAAAAACACTTGCATGCTGGAACTGGATTTGTTTATTAGCTGAAAATAATGCTATGTGTCAAGCTAATAAACAAAATTCAGAGATACAGATAAGTTCGGTGATAGCAGGGCAACACTAATCACTTTGGAAGCCACATCTCAGATTCTTGTGGGACTGTTAATTCTAGCACATTGGTATTTTTAATCAGTAGCTGTTGGTACTGTGATAATACTGCTGGTGAATAAGGCTTTAAGCCTGCTTCCCCGCTCCTGCCTTTTATCTGGCTTTGGTCACGTTTGGAAGTTTGCCTGCTTTCGTTTGTGTATAGAAGTGGTGAGCGCAGTAGTGCTGTTTGGGAGCAGGCAACGATGTGATTAATAGCCATGGTATTTACTTTTGATTGTCTGGCAACTGTGCTGTTCATTCAGATTTTGTGTTGAACAACATTGCTTGTAATTCCCCTTTCCAAATCTTTCTTCTGATGAGTTTAATTTGATTGTATTCCTATGAGTGGCTTTCAGCTCACAGTGTGCTCCAGAGGGA